ACTGGGACATCACGGTGTTTTTCTGCCAGTCAGACTGGGACATCACGGTGTTTTTCTGCCAGTCAGACTGGGACATCACGGTGTTTTTCTGCTCACTGAGCAGCCTCTGTGTTCATCCCTTGAGTTTATGTGCATTTTAGTCTTGAATGATTCGTAGATCAGTGTTTAAAAAAATGTTTGGGAACGTCTACAGCTGTCTGTGAATAACACTGACCTTGTTGTAAAAGCTGACCCAAAGGCGACCATGTGGCTAAATGGGGCCTTTCACTCACTCTCCTCCTGTTTCACTCTGCTATCAAAAAGGCCCCAAAAATATAGTGTTAAAAAAACAACTCCTCTGGCTTTTTACAGGTAGAACCTAAGAGACTGTGGTGGTTTCAGGCTTGTGCACAGTACTGTAGATTGTATGAAACTATCCAAACAACATAAGATGATCCAAATGTAAAGTTGTTTTAGTTGTTGAAATTGTCTCTCAGCAGCATAGATGCTTTTAGACCAAGTTTACTAACTCTGTGTAGCCATGTACAGACTCGTGTGCTGGTCACCCACGGCTTGAGCTACCTGCCCCAAGCTGACTTGATCCTGGTCATGATGAAGGGCGAGATCTCAGAGGTGGGCTCGTACCAGCACCTCATGGCCACAGAGGGAGCCTTTGCAGAGTTCCTGCGAACTTACGCTGCAGTCGACAAAGCTGATAACAGTGGTGAGGAGTGTGTCGTGCTGCCGTGTAGCGTAGCACCGTGCAGTGTTTTGAGTAGTAGTTCTGTTGAGATGAAGTCTGATCATTATTTTATCATACATGTTTGCTCCAGCTGGTCTTCTCAGATCGACTTCATGTTTTAAATTTCCTTCCTCCATTTAGAGCCCGTGCCAAACAGCAGCATCCAACGACTGGAGAACGGCAGCGTGCCCACTCTTGCTGCGTGAGTGATTTAGGGTAAGGGTCCTGGGGGGCTGGGGAGTCTCACTAACCACATAAGTGTCCTTCTGTTTAAGCAGCAGTCCAGGTGTCTGCACTGCATCCAAACAGTCAACCAAAGCAGACGAGGAGCTGAGCAAGAAGCCCAAGAATCCCGAGGTGGGGAAGCTGACGGAGGCTGACAAGGCCAGCACTGGGCAGGTGTGTGGATCTGCACGTGGTCGCATGTATGAATGCAAACATTTCTGTATAACGTGTCTATGTTCAGTCTGGGATCACAGCAGCTCTCCTGTCCTCCGCAGGTTAAGCTGTCTGTCTTCTGGGCCTATTTTAAGTCCATTGGAGTGCTTCTGTCCTGCATCAGTCTTCTGCTGTTTCTTGCCCATCACCTGCTCTCCCTGTTCTCCAACTACTGGCTGAGTCTGTGGACCGATGACCCTGTGGTTAATGGCACGCAGCCTAACAGACTCATGAGACTGGGGGTGTATGGTGCCTTTGGCCTGTCTCAGGGTGAGCATGACAGGAGGAAAAATCATGTTTTTGTCTGGTTCAGAAAGTGAGGCAACACCAAGGGTAGCCATTGTACGATGAGCAGGAAAAAGCACCTTTGCTTTTTCCTGCTCATCGTTTTTTTAAACAAACCACATGCAAATGTTAGGTGGCCAGTCCAACACAGGCCTGACATGTGTGCTTACTTAATCTCATGTCTGTTGGAAGCTGGAGCACCAGAGGACACTCGCACATCTCCATGTAGGTGCCACCGGACAGAGATGGAGGGAGACTGTGATGTGGTGTCAGCTCACAGCAGGGTGACCGTGTCCACCACCCGTTGACTAATAATATGCTTGGTTAACCCTGCAGCGCGCCCTCGGTCCTGCTCTGTCACTGCTGGGGTCCAGTAGGGCTGTTTGATGTGACGCTATATATCTGATGACAATATGAAAACATCTATCGTTTCATTTTACGCTATCGTTTGTTTCGTGGTGTCGCAAAATAAACTGTTTACAGCAATATGCTTTCATGGTTCTGACGGTCACTGTAGCGGAGTATTCCCTTTATATTTAAAATAACCACACTACAGACGGACAGGCGACTGTTTTTACGTGTTGTCGTTAGCAACAACGACGGTAAACCCAGCGTGTGGCTATGCCTTCCTCTTTTTTATTTTCCACATAAACCTTTCACAATAAAGCTGAAGAGCCTGTTGAGACTTTTCAAAATAAACTGAAATGATGACAAACAGAAGGACCAGTCCAAACAAATCAAGGACCTTATTCCTAAACGAGGGGCCACCTCTGTAGCACGGACATGGTTTGGTTATGAAAAGTCTGAAAACTGAAAACTGTACGATGCACACTATGCAGCAAACCGGTCCAACACCTCAGACTCAAACACAGCAAACCTCTTCTGCCACCAACACACGAGTCACGTGACAGAATGCGGAGAAGCAAAAAGAGCCGTCAGGTGCTCCAAACACATCTTAGACTCAAACGTTAAAAAACAGGCTTATCCTCGCAGCACGTCGTCTAATAAATACAAAGAAAATGGCGGCCGTTACAACAAAAAATGTATAGCTTCATGCATCGGTCAAAACGCTCGACTCCAGGTACACGACCCCAGGTGGAAACACTTCACACAAGTCGAGCTGCCCGAGATTCACAGACTTTACAGAAAGTGTAACATTTTTGTGATATCGTTGTCAGGACGATAGATGTCTAATATCGGGATATGAGAGTTTGGTCATAGCACAGCCCTAGGGTCCAGGCCCCCCTTCTCCAACTCGTTCCCCTCAGTTATAGACTCGTCTCATGCAGGTGTGTTCTTCACACAGAAATAATAAGTCATGATATTGTGCTCCTCTGCTGTCCTTCAGGTGTGGCTGTCTTTGGATACTCCCTGTCCATGTCCATTGGGGGTGTTCTGGCGTCCCGGTACCTCCACCAGTCCATGCTGTACGATGTCCTGCGCTCACCTATGTCCTTTTTTGAGCGAACCCCCAGTGGTAACCTGGTCAACCGCTTTGCCAAAGAGATGGACACCATTGACACGCTGATCCCCAGCATTATTAAGATGTTCCTGGGCTCCATGTTCAACGTGCTGGGCTCTTGTGTTATCATCCTGATTGCCACACCTCTAGTCAGTATCATCATTCCTTTCCTGGGTCTGCTCTATTTTTTTGTGCAGGTGAGTTTGAAAGGGAAACTGATTCTGAAGTGTCAGTATGTTCCAGTGTTCTCCCCACAGTACTACGCCTCCCTGCACTGTAATTCTGACCATTGTTACGAAATCAGCTTCACCCCGCTTCTTTTTATTCCTCGAGGCTTCCAGAGACGGCACCAGAACTCAGTCATTTTCACAAAACCTTTATTCATCTTCAGTTAAGCATCTTCTAGAAGGGGAGAGGTGCCAGGCCGGTGTCCCTCTGCAGATCTGTCACTCCTTTGTTAGTTACAGTCAGCTTTATAGAAGCGACCCCATCATACCCCATGGTGTGCTGCAAACTCTGTGTTTGTGTGTATGCACGAGCACGTGAGTGTGCATGTAGGTGTGTGACAGTCAAAGCACTGTGTGTGTCTCTGTGTACGTGACTTCCTGCCGGTCATAAAAGTGATCTCCTCACCCAAGCTGCACCAGATTCCTCTACACAACATAGAAAACAGAGTTAACACATTACAAACACTGAGACCCCCACTCTGCATCCACTGGGCCAGTGGCCTCTTGTTGTCTTACATTTAAGGTGGAGAGTCTCCTGCAAACCTGCTTCTAAGTTATAACAATTATGAGTTTTTATTAAAGGTATCAGCATCAGCAACTGTAGCTTCCTGTCTCCTTCTATGACAGCAGACCTCCAGTGTCCATAACTTCCTTTCTCTCTAAACTACACACACTCTCAGGCCACAGCTAAGCCAAACTGAAACACAGACAAATCCTTCCTTATTCCTGTGATCTAAACAAATTTAACACATCGTATTCCAATAATTGTTTTCTTGTACTCACACTATGTAAGTCACATGTGTCTATCCTTGCTCTGTCCAGAGGTTTTATGTGGCGTCATCTCGCCAGCTGAAGCGTCTGGAGTCGGTCAGTCGTTCCCCAATTTACACTCACTTCAATGAAACCCTGCTGGGCACGTCGGTTATCCGAGCCTTCAGCGAGCAGGAGCGTTTCATCCATGAGAGTGACCAGCGCGTGGACCATAACCAGAAGGCTTACTATCCCAGCATAGTGGCTAACAGGTCAGGGAGGCTGCCGTCACACGCATCACTGCACCACCCGCTGCAACAGTTTACACCGCCTTTTAGGATGAATGTCCCTAGATTAGGATGTCTCTGAGGCTGTTCATTGGAGTATTACTGCAGCAACACGAGTACATTATATTCACTTTGGACGTAGAAAAGCTCCATTTACGTTTACATGCGTTAATTTTCATGTTTCTTTGCAATCTCTGGCTGAAAGGTTAAAAGCAGTGTTGGGAAGGTTTCTTTTAAAATGTAA